GGTTCTCCAAACATTACCAGGCCATGCTAAGACGATGAATTTTAGTCAGAAAGGTTTGCTTGCCACTGCCACTGGATCTTTTGTACAGGTATTGAGAGATTTATCGGGATCTCAGAATTATAGCCGCTATATGAGCCATTCCATTGCTAAAGGGTACCAAATACAAAAGTTGGCATTCAGACCCTATGAAGATGTTTTGGGCATTGGGCACTCGATGGGTTGGTCGTCAATCTTGATTCCTGGATCCGGAGAAGCCAACTTTGACTCTTGGGTGGCGAACCCGTTTGAAACTTCTAAACAGAGGAAGGAGAGGGAGGTGCATTCTCTTCTTGACAAACTCCCTCCAGAGACGATCATGTTGAACCCAACGAAGATTGGTTCAGTGAAGCCCACAAGAAAGAAAGAAAGACCGGCTAAACAGGAGATAGAGGCCGAATTGGAAGGTGCTGTAGAAGCAGCAAAAAATATATTTATCAAGAAGAAAACTAAAGGTCGGAGTAAGCCCAGCAAGGTTGCAAAGAAGAAGAAAGAAGCAGTAGAGAAAGCTAAGAAGCCTTTCTTGGAACAAGCAGCTAAAGGGGATGGGTTATCGAAAAAGAAAAGGAAGAACATGGAGGAAAATCTGCCTAGATCTCTTCAGAGGTTTGCTCTGAAGAGACGAGCTAATTGATTTTTCAGAGAGAGTCAATTGAGTTAGGAAGTTTATTTAATAGACTATTTTTTCATATGTTGTATTGACTATGATGCTGCTATTATATAAATACATTTGATTTGAACAGAAATAGTTTTTTTCTTAATGTCAAACTAATAGAGCATTAGAATAAAGATGGAAGCCATCTCCAACAGAGCAGTTTCCATTAATTTAAGGCATAGCATTCCAAAAATTTACAGTAACTAGGAATGATAAATACTAATATTTGACACCTGGGTTATTGCCTAAATTCAAGCTCCGAATACCCTTGAGGGTTAACTCGAAATCCTTAACCTTTAACATGTTTCTGGCAGAAGACGAGCGCTTGTAATCAGCGGATACTGCTGATGAACTTCTTTGTGTGACGCTGGAAATTTTATGCTGCGCATCTGTTGCACGTCCATGTGAAGGGTCGGAATCCTCCCAAGCAGTCACTGGATCGTGTTTACTAGAGATAGTAGGTTGCATTGAAGATCCAGTCGACCGGAAAATGTTGAAATTTGATAACTGCAGAAAGCAATCACAAGTAACGTGAAATTATGAACAAGATTAACAGATGCATAGATGCCTTGGGAAAGGAAAAGGACTTACCTCTTTACTCATAACTAAGTCGTTAGCAAGTGGATCTTTCTGTGTAGTTCCAGAATTCAAAAATTTTCTACCACGAGTTGAGTTTGTGAAAGAAGAACAGTGGACCTTTCCTTCATCATCACCTGAAAAACAGCTGTAGAATTATACTCGTGTCTGTCTGCAAACACTATACAGAACTAAGCGCCGCCCTACCAGCAAATCTATGGTTTTAAGTACAAGCTTCTGCATATAATGGTTGATCCATAAAATCAAATGCAGCTATTTTGGTGTAATGAATAGAGAATCAAAACTCGCAATGCACCAGACCAAGATTCACCTGGTTGTAGATCAACATTAGCATGCTGCATTCCCGAACTCGTACCTGCAGTTGCACCCTGTCCCGAAAATCATCATGCCTATGAGCATGTTTTGCCGAGTTTGAAGTAAATGTTAAACTTCTTGTTTCCAAACGTGTTTAGATATTTTATAAGTAAACCTTTTAATCTTAGCCAAACTTTCTCTATATCTTGGTTGTAAGCCAGAACTTTATGTTACTTACAAGCTCTTGAAGTGGAGGATTGGCTAGGGGAGACTCCTGATATTTCAAAATGGTCCAGTCGAATACATAGTCACATTGAAAACCTGCATGGGAAGATAGACGAGAGGAGTAAGAACAAAGAGAAGGTAAAAATACGACATTCAAATCCGAAAAGCAGCAAATATAAGTTAGTGACGCTTAGGAGTAAGTCAAAACCTTCACGAATGAAAAGGTCACGGAAAATTCTCTTTAAATAAGCATAATCTGGTTTATCATCAAACCTAAGCGAACGACAATAATGGAAGTAAGACGAGAATTCCGTAGGATAGCCACGACATAACACCTAAAGAAAAGTAAGCTTCAGAATCAGTCTCGCATAGTACAAAATATACAACTGCCCGGAAGACGGCTGAAACACCGGTTACCTCAATCGAGGTTGTAACTTTCCTTTCACTAATTTTTTCATATTTCCGTTTCTTTGTTCCAGCATTCAACCCCTGCCAGGGGAGACTACACATTTGGGAAAAGCAAGCACACACATTACAAGGAAAACATAGGAGAAAACAAAAAACGACGAATATGTAGACATACCTTCCTCTTAAGAAATACATGAGAACATATCCGAGTGATTCTAAATCGTCCCTGCGACTTTGTTCTGTGCGAAACATAATGCAGTGCTTAATCAAATCACTTTCAGCAAATGCTTAAGATGAAAACAAAATATAACGTAAATACCAATTCCGAGATGAGTATTCATGCTGGCATATCTGACTGTTCCAATCAAATTTTTATTTTCTCTGCATTACATAGACAGCATCATAAGAAGATTCTTATTTATAGCTTTTGAAGTTAAAACCATACAACAAACTGATATCCAAGAGAGCTTACCTATAGGGAATGTGACGAGTCGAGGAGTCTCTGAATTTCTTGGCAAGTCCAAGATCAATAATATATACCTACATAACTTGATGGATGTATGGATCAAGAGATAATAAAAGCAAACAGTTAAAATGAAGGGAGGAAAGTTTTAAAAAAGGAAACCTGATTTGCATGCCTTCCCAAGCCCATTAGGAAGTTGTCGGGCTTAATATCCCGATGAAGGAAAGACTTAGAATGAATAAACTCAATCCGGTTAATCTGAAAAGAACAAGAATTCCCGGGAGAATTGAAGCATGAAAATGTCTTAAATTCTTAATAGAACACAACCAAACAGATATTTTACCATCTGATCCGCCAGCATGAGAACGGTCTTTAGAGATAGCTTCCGATTACAGGAGTTAAACAAGTCTTCAAGACTAGGTCCCAGTAAATCCATAACAAGGACATTATAGTCTCCTTCGACTCCGAACCATTTAAGGTCAGGAATTCCAGCTACCGATATGGAAGAAATGATTATAGTCAATAAAGATGCAAAAAGAAAAATAATGACTGGCAACTGAAATAGTGAAAAGGATCATTACTTCCTCCTTGTAATGTTTTGTACGACCTTGACTCGTAATGCAACTGAGGATGCTTTGTCTTGATATTTTCCTGCATATACAGAAAAGCAGAAGCTATTAGTGATATTAAGCAACTGACAACTTAGTGCCTGTTTGTCAACCATTATTGAGAAGAAAATTGTGTAATGAATAGTATTTTTTGGAAAATGTGTGGTTGAAATTGAAAGAAACTTTATCGGTTTATGTGTAGAATATTTTATTATTTGAATGTGTGGTAGAGATTGATTACTGTAGAAAACAATTTTTTGAAAAAAGAAAATAATTTTTTGAAAAATGGTACAAACAGGGGCTTATTTCTAGTAACTAATGAACGTTAGCTAACAAGAGCAAAAAATACAGCACTATGCGATGAACTGTCGAGAAAGTATTATGTACAGACACAGACTTGAAGATAAAATCACGAGGAGCAGCATTTTGAGCAAAAAAGGCAAGAGAAATTTTGTATCAATGGAGGAAATGAGGGAAGCAATTCTCTACAATGACACTGTAGAGCAGGTGGCTGTGGCACATAGGTGCACTTCTTCAAAAGGTCACCATATGCCCAGCCTTCCGACCCACTCTGAAGAATTCATGGGTCGACAAGCGGGAGAGTAAAATAAACATCTGATCAGAGCATATCAAGAAAAGAACTTCAAACGCTTCAAAGATATCAGATTTCCTTCAATATTCTCTACAAGCCATACGATAAAAATAACAGTTTCCATAGCCCAAAAGACAACAAAAACACATCCTCTGCCTCGATCATTGAGGATTAAGACAATAATTAGGAAAGATCCTAGAATTTCTCATGGTCCAAATGTTCCTTTGAGGCATCATTCAATTTAAACAAACAAGATTAAATCCAAGCAAACCAATCTTTAGGTCCAACAGCATTGTGCCAATATAATTAGCATGTCATGTCTAACAAAGAACTTCTTAAGTTTCCAAGAATGAAATTTTGACTTGAAATTCCAACATATAATAACAAGACTTGAAAGGACCTTAACGATTGACTAAGAGCATCAGAGCATGTCTGATTGTCTGGCAGTGCCTAAAATATAAGTACCCCCACATTGTTTAGATAACTTACTTTTTTGAAAGTAACTCTAGTTACCTTGCTATTCAAATAACTATGAGTAAACTTTTTAAGCTTAGCCAAACATGCTCTAAATATCCCATGAATCAGTAGCTAAAAAAAAATGTACGAAGAGATTCTCTAATTACTCACAAGCTTAATTGCAACCTCTTCACTTGTCTGAATATTAGTACCTGCAAAATAAATAAACAAATTGCCCAACAAGAACAAGAAACAAAAACGATAAAATTCAAGAAGAGAAAAAAAAAATCAAAATAGACCTTTATAAATCTCTCCAAATGAACCACTTCCAATTTTCCGGCCAAGCTGAAACTTATTTCCTACCCGGGGCTCCATCCAATCCCGTGATAAAAAATACCTTTTAAAAAGCAACTTATAAGTAACTAACAATTAAGCTGAAATTGCAGATTTAAAGCAGGAAAGAAAGGGAGGTGGCAAAGTGAATTATCATTGTATAAAATGAAACATAGGTATCTCCTCTTCTTGGGTCGGGGCTTCGATTTTATCGGCGCCCACAGACTTTTCGTTTACACCTAGGTTGTAATAATACAGTTAATTATTCATAAATGTTAGAAAATAAGTAACTTTTTTTCCTCTGTTGATCACTGCTGCTGTTCCAACTAACTAACATGCATATTCGAATGGCATATTTCCCTATTTGTCAGCACTTTTATTTTAGTTTGTCTTATTATTGCAGTCTATCAACGTGTGTAAATTCTAATAAATTTAATTTGTCTGATTCTTGCAGTCTATCTAGTAACCTCAGTTGACAGTGGTCAAAATCTAATTTTCACTTTCGAATAGATGGAATCCACCGTGTAGACTAGTATTAACCCAGCGATAGATCTGAGATCATATTGTCAAGAATTTTACATCGTCGTTAAATTTTATTTGTATTTAAATTCTTAACGTTAAGTTTTATAGTCAAAATAAAGTCATCAGGCTAAAGTCGGTACTTTCTCAAAAGTTATTAATTGCTCATCTCAACGACAATCACATAAGTGGAAAATTTTATGTTTGATTCGATCCTCCCAAGTCCTATCCATTCTATGCAAGTTTTTGTCGCAACCAAGAAATAATCCAAGAAAATTGTAATATGTTCGACTTGTGAGCATTCCGACGAAATGAACGAAATACGATCAATTAACATAACAAGGCTTAGACAAAGGAGGAATAAAGGCAAATATATATCTTCATATATTCACAAGGCTATGCAAAATATCATACATGCAACAGCCAAAGTGCTTTGGTGTTGGGAATACCTCACTATATTGGACAAAAAATACACTAAGAATGAACCAAAAAGGTTCAACCAGGAAAACAAAAAGGAAATTTGCCAACAGCCAAAAAACCTAGAAAAAAAAAACTTAAATGCACAAAAATTATGTTTGCTGTGGTATTACAGAAGTTGCACTCATTAATGAATACTTCTTCTGCAGTCTCCCTTTTAAAAGCCTGATTTTCGCATCAACTCGGGCTGTAAATCCGATCTTAGTTTCCTGTCTGGCCTTTGACCGCTCTTGTTTCCACATATGTCGATCTTCGATGTCTTTCTTGTAGTACTTGATTTCTTGAATGACGTGATGATCCATTGGATTGAAAGATCTTTGGAAAGAAATGTGTGCAAAGTATGGGAGATTACAGACAACGGTTACTAAGAGGGTAGTGATCCAGTAAATTGGGGCCGGAGCTAGAACTTCTGTGAGGATTTTGAAGGCATTTTCATCGAGGGCTGATGACAATTCTCCATAGAATACAAGAAACACATACCATGTCGTGACACTACCCCAAACGAACAAGTGTTGTATCCATGTGAAGTGACTCATCGTAAGTGCAATCTGGCAATTAACGGCCCAAATAACGCAAGTGAACATAGCAGTACCAACAGCAGTCATATCAGCCGTCTGGCCTCCAGAACGGAAAGCTTGGTCGTAAAAGATGATAATGTTGAGGAAGAAGATAATGAGGGACGTGTATAGACCATTTCCCATCCACCCAATTATTCTGTACCAGTCGAAGAACAAATTTTTTGGTCCTTGCTGATATAAGGCAGGAAACTGCATTGAGCATAAGTTTGCATCAGTATAAAGCATTCCCGGATTAACTAAACTGGTACTCACCAGAGTCATAGCGAAATTTCATTTTTTTTCAAGTATGTTACTGAACTTAAAGTTTACTAAAATTTGGTCACTTTGTCTATCTCAGCCAATCCGATAAAAGGAAATGGTGACTTGACTGTCAATCTATTTGCCAATTACACTGCCACGTCAGGTTTTCTGTTAGTTTGACATGGACAGAATGACCACACTGTAACAAACTTGTAAGTTCAGTGTCCCAACTCACAATTGTCACGAAGTTAAAGTTGATCGCCAACATTGAATTTTCACTAAAAGTTCATTGACCTAGTGCATTTATCCCCAGCATTCCCACATGCTGAAGCTGTGGTGGTTTGAAGGAAATTCAAGGAAATGAAATCTAGAAAGGATCGACAGAAAAATAACCTGCAAACACACTTCAGAATCCACGTCCTGTTCGAATACTCCAAGTGAAATCACGGGCAATGACGTAAGAACGACGTTGAACAGCAGCATGTACCAGTCAACATAAACCGACTGCCCAGAAAAGGCAGCAAAAGCCTCGAAGTAGAAGATTGTGAGGCCAAATGCAATATTTTTGTAGAAGAAATAGCAGATCTGAATGTAGAGAGTTGTAGATAAAAGTGAAAATAAAATAAAGATGGAGGGTAGCACGAAGGAAAATGACACCCATGTAATAATGAACATGTTTTGTACATGCAAAGAGATGAAAATCTGTATTACTAAAGTATATTTCGACAACATCAATGAGAATATAATGAGTTCAGCTAAGATGATTACCATCTGAGCAATTCTTTTGTAGCACCAATGTCCGTGTACAACTAGAAGCCTCTCCAGAAACCGAAATTGTGCAATAGCGAAGTCGCTGGCCATTACAGCCTACAGAAAAGCCAAAATTATGTAAGCTTATATTGATCTAAAAGTAATACATGCTCATGAAAAGCTCCCATGACATGAACAAAATGTAAATTACACAAATTATAAGAAACCAAACAAAAGCAAAATAAATTGATCAACAATAAAATAAAACTAAAATTCACTCTCCGAAAAGATAAATTATTTTTCAGCCAGCACATTTAGCATTAAACATTTATAATGTAATCCACAGAGTATGCTTTCAACATCTTTACATTCTTCCCTGATCTTTTTAATGATATCACACGCCAATATACAGAAATTCTTGCAAAAGTGTATTTGAACCAAATCCCAAAGCTGAATGAAGCCCATGAAAAGTTATAGTTCAACAAATAATTTCATAACCCTGTTGAAGTGGAAGATGACTTTTGTCAAATGGTAAATCAACCATTTCAGCTAGGCCACAAAAGTCAACTAGAATTTGATTATATATACTGATACTATATTCCTCCATCTCTTTCACCTAGTCACCATTAAAATTTTACCTTTATCACTTTAGTTATTGATGCCACACTAAGGTAATTGATGCCAAATTTGCTAGAACTTCACAAGAGACTGAGAAAATAATTCAAATAAGCACATCCATATTTCTTTTGTTTAAAAAAGAAAATACTCATATCAAACAATCACTTTCTGCAAGTTGACAGAATGCGAAAGTCAACGTCTCTGATTCTTGAAGTACTTAGTCGTTTCTGTAGTTTGATAAGTAATTCTTTAAGTATATAAATATTTTGAGAATTACAAATGGCTATAGAATCTGATGCCAGATACATTTGGGAGAAAGCACAATCATACAGTATATGTATCATATCAATGTTTGCATCCCATCAAATACTACTGCAAAATACCGGTTAATTTTGAGATAAGTGGAGCAAGGAATATGATCATCTAATGCTCTCAAATATCTTTGTTCTTTTCCTACTACTATTCAACTGCAGCAGCAGATAACTACACTAGAAAAAGGTAAACAATGAAGAATGCATTGCTCAATGGTCAGCATGAAAAATCTGGTAATATAATTAAGATAAAACCAGTACTCAATATAGCAACAAAACTAATGATTCATGAGGATACAAACAAAATTGGCTCCTGTTTGGGCTCCATTTTGTTCAAAATGCATTTTTCTTTCTCCTCTTTTTAACCATATATTCTCCAATAAAATAATATTACATATAAACCCAAAACTTGTCCTTTTTTAACCACACATTTTTCAAAAAATCATTATTCCAAACTACTTTTTCTCCAAAAATACACATTAAAATGGAGCTCAAACAAGGGCTTGATCTTTTGTCCAAGAGCCCAAAATTTATTTGAGCAGATTGGCAAGTTGGAATAGTGCTCGACTGCTCGGGATACAACTATATGCATTTCACACTCTCAAGGAATCGAATCACAATGAAATACAAGCAAATTATGTTTACTGGAAGTATATTTTTAAAGTTTTGATGATATTTTTACAGAAGATCTTTTCTACAATACCAATGTGTTATTTCTTCGAAGATCTACTGCAAAATCCTAGTTGCACAAACATGTTCAAAAGAAACAAATGCTTAACGCGTCTAAAAACAGTTACTGTGATTTCATTGTTGCATACAGAATTTGAGCCGATAAGATAATGTTACAAACCTGCATTCCTTCACATCCACTAATACCCACACCAATGTCTGCTTCTTGAATCATACCAACATCATTTGCACCATCACCAATTGCTAATGTGGTTTTCCCAGTTCCTTCTTTTACTAATCTTGTTACCTGGTTGCCAAGTATCATCAGCAGAAATGAAGGATAGAGCAGTCGTAACTATCAGCATGTTGCCTAAGCTTAAATTCTTTTCATAAGTAGGCTAAGCTCAAACACTTCATTAACAAGTAAATAAGTTTTTACTGGTCAAAGTTGGAATAATTTATTTATTTTAACAATAAAGTAAGAATTACTTACCAAAATGTAACGAATTTTACTTTAAAGTAAGAAAAAAGTTAATTACTTGAACATGTTAGCAACAGAGTAACCTTTACTTTTTTTAAGCTTAGCCCAACATGCTTGGCAGAGTTATCTCAGAAACTTTAAGAAATGAATTGCATAAGACGCAGCATGAAATTCAATAAGTAGATAAGACAAAAGATGTCTGACCAGAGCTTTCTGCTTTGGTGAAACACGACAACATATGACAGAAGCACAATCAACTGCTAAATTCAAAAATTGATGCTTCATGTCATCCTCCAATGCGTAAGTTAGAGTTTTCCCATCGATGATTAATGCGAATGCAGCATGGGGATCCTTTTCGAGCTTGATCATTTGAGACCCATTGGTGATTTGCATCAAGAT